CCCTCTAATCCAGAGAGTATCCTGGTAAACCTCTTCTGCACGCTCTTCAAAGCCTCCACATCCCACCGGTCATGTGGTAACCAGAATTGAATACAAAACTCTAAGTATTGCCTAACCTAAGTCTTATAAAGCTGCAGCATGACATCCTGACTCTTGTACTCAATTCCCTGACCAATAAAGGCAAGCATGCCACAAGCCTTCTTTACCACCCTATCTACTTGTGTGGCCACTTTCAGGGAGCTATGGACTTGAACCCCAAGATTCCTTTGTACACCAATGCTGTTCAGGGTCCTACCATTAACTGTACAATTTTCCTTAACATTTGATCTCCCAAAGTGCAGCACCTCACCTGGATTAAACTCCATCTGCCATTTCTCCACCCATATCTGCAACTGATTCATATCCCACTATATCCTTTGATAACCTTCTATACAATCCACAAGTTCACCAATCTTTATGACATCTGCAAACTTACTAACCTACACATCAACATTTTCATTTAAGTCATTTATATATATCACACAGCAGAAGTCCCAGATTCCTGTGAAACACCATTAGTCATGGACCTCCAGCCAGAAAACCACCCTCCCACCATTACCCTCTGCCTTCTATGGGCAAGCCAATTCTGAATCCAGTTGGCCAAGTCACTGTGGAACCTACCAGGTGGGACCATCTCAAAAGTCTTACTGAAATCCAGGCAGACAACATCCACTACTCTACCCTCATTGATAATCTTCATCACCTCCGAAAAATTCAATCAAGTCAGTAAGACACGACCTGCCCTGCACAAAGCCATGCTGACTGTTTCTAATTAGGCAGTCTTTTTTTCCCCCAAATGTGCATAAATCTTTTCCCTAAGAGTTCTCTCCAATAGCTTCCCAATCACTGAAGAAAGACTCACCGGTCTCTAGTTTCCTGAATTATCCCTATTTCTCTTCTTGAACAGAGGAACATTATCTACTCGCTGGTCCTCGGTGATCTTTCCAGTGGCTAGTGAGTGATCCTACCTTCTCCCTAGTTATCTTCTTATTTTTAATGTATATACACAATGACTTAGGATGTTCTTCAAATCTATTTGCCAAGGGCATTTCATGGTCCCTTCTTGCTCTCCCAATTCCCTACTTGAGTTCTTTCCTGCTTTCTTTATATTCCTCATGGCTCCTGCCCAATTTTAGCTTCATAAACTTTATATATGCTTTTTTCCTTTTGACTAAATTCATAACCTCCCTCATTATCCAAGGGTCCCTTACCTTGCCACCCTTTTCCTTCCTCTCTACTGGAACATGCCTGTCCAGAAATTTGATCAGTAAGTCTTTAAAAAACTCCCACATGTCAAATGTGGACTTGCCTGATAATTGGGAGGAGCTGTTAACACTTGCGAGCACCTGACTAATACTGACATAATTTGCCCTGCACCAATTTAGTTCCTACCCACAAGGCCCCGACTACTTATCTTTGTTCATAGCTACTTAAAACTTAAGGAGATAGTAAGAACTGCTGACACTGGACTCTGAGATAACAGAGTGTGGAACTGGAGGGAAAAAAAAAAGTCCCAATCCAATACGTCAGCTTTCCTGCTCCTCTGATGCTGCCTGGCCTGTGTTCCTCCAGTTCCACACTTATCTAAAACTTAAGGAGTTGTGATCACTGTTTCCAAAATGCTCTCCCACTGAAAGGTCAGCCAGCTGGCCAGGTTCATTAGCCAACACAAAATCTAGTATGTCCTCTCCTCTAGTTGGACAATCCACATACTGTTTCAAGAAACCATCTTGGATGTACTTAAATTCTGCCCCATCTAAGCCTCTTGCTCTAAGGGAATCCCAGTCAATAGTGGGGAAGTTTAAATCCGCCACTATGACAACAGTTATTGTACCTTTCCATAATCTGCCTACATATCTGTTCCTCAAATCTCAGTGGCTGTTGGAATCCCTTAAGTATAATCCTAACAGAGTGATTGCACCCAACTTATTTTTGAGCTCTACCCATACTGGCTTAGTGGATGAGCCCTCCATTATATTCTCTGAGTTCAGATAGGTCCTTCTCCCTGATTAGTAATGCAACTCAACCTCTTTTCACTATCCTTCCAGCTCACCTAAAACAACAAAACCCTGGAACGTTGAACAGCCAGTCCTGTCCCTCTTTCAACCAAGTCTCTGTAACAGCCACAACATCATAGTCCCATGTACCGATCCAGGCTCTAAGCTCATCTGCCCTACCTATAATACTCCTTGCATTGAAATAAACACACATCAGCCCATTAGTACCATCGTGTTCATTTACCTCTCTCTGCCTGTCCCTTATTTCTGATTTACTGGCCCCAACATCTACCTTCCCCTCAATCCCTCCACTTGCTGACCTACTGCTTTGGTTCTCATTCTAGTTTAAACCCTCCCAAGTAGCACCAGAGAACCTCCCTGTGAGGATATTGGTTCCCTTCCAGTTTAGGTGCGACCCATCCCTCTTGTACAGGTCACCCATCCCCCAGAAGAACATAGAACAGTACAGCACAGTACAGGCCCTTTGGTCCATGATGTTGTGCCAAACTTTTACCCTAAACCTAAGGTCTATCTAACCTCCACCCCTACCTTATACTATCATCCATATGCCTATCTAATAGCTGCTTAAATGCCCCTAATGAGGCCAACTCCACTACCCGCTCCGGCAATGCATTCCACTCAGGAGGTCCCAATGATCTAAGAACCTGAAACCTTGTCCCCTGTACCAACTCCTTAGCCATGCGTTCATCTGTCCTATCTGTTTATTCCTTGCCTCACTAGCACGTGGCAGTGGTAGTAACCCAGAGATTACAACCCTTGGAGGTCCTTCTTTTCAGTCTCTCTCCTAACTCCCTGTACTCATTCCTCAGGACCTCATCCCTTTTTCTACCTATGTCGTTGGTACCCGTGTGCAAAATGACCTCTGGCTATTCACGATCCCCCTTAAGAATTACATGCAACTGTTCAGAGAGGTCTTTGACCATAACATCAGGGAGGCAACACACCATTCTAGGGTGTCAAAGGTGGACACAGAAAAGCCTGTCTGTGCCCCTAGAGAGTCTCCCTCTACTATCGCTCTGTAGGACTTTGCCTGACCCTGCTCTACAGCAGAGCCAGTTGTGTCGTCACAGGCCTGGCTGCTGCAGTTACACTCCCATGAGAGGCTGCTCCAGCCCAACCCCAGCAGTAGAGTGGATGTTGAGAAGATGTTTCCACTAGTAGGAGAGGCTAGATCCCAAGAGCACAATGTCATATGAAAGGATGACCCTTTAGAACCGAGATGAAGAGGAATTTCTTAAGCTGTGTTTAATCTGTGGAACTGATTGCCGAAGGCTATGGAGGCCAAGTCATTCAGTGTATTTAAGATAGAGATTAGAGGTTCATGTTTAGTCAGGAGGATCAAGGGTAAGGGGGAGAAAACAGTAAATTGGGGTTGAGAGAAACATATCAGCCACAATCAAATGGCAGAGGAGACTTGGTGGGCTGAATGGCTTCATTTCTGTTCCTATCTTATTGTCGTGCCGCAGTTCAACTATGATTGTATTGAATCTTGGATTAGATCAAAGGGACTGAATCTCCTGTTTTATTGTTTCTCAGTTGAATAGATTTAAATTATCATTTGCCCACATCTCCATCATTCTCCTGTGTATTGTATTGCTATTTGCCTACGTGCTCACCAACTCTGTAAGAAAACTGTTACGATCCGAGACTAGACCATCAAATTTACGTTTGAGATCTGGCCAGGGATCTGAGGGCACATTGTGAGATTCCATGGATTCTAGTTGATTCCATGGTTTTGAACAAAAATAATAAACATTGTTGGACAACATTAGAGTTGTAATACAATCTATAGTCCAGGGTTTTATTTCTAACATCTGTGTTAACATCAGCAAATGTGGATAATAAGTTGTGATTTGACAACCTACAGAGAACATCAAATCACAAGTGCTAATAAGTCAGATCCCAGATTTCACAGCAATTCCCCTTACATATGGGGTTTTGAACCTTATTAACCCTCAAAAAAATAATGGTAATTCTTACATTTGCAGATCTGCCCTTGAAATTCCTTCTCAAGAACTTCTCCTTCATGGACTACTCAATGACTGCTGCTGTTTTGGTCGATTATCTTAGATCTTGAGTGATTGCACTCTTGAATGCAAAAACTGCATCCAGTACTCACTTAGTTATAATTCCAGCTCTTCCCTCGCACCTAGCTTCACTGATCCAGACCTACCCCCAGGCTTTTCCATGAGCTCTGATCTTGCTCAGTTGCATCAAACATGTTTGGCTGGTGGCCTTCTCAACCTCCACACTCTCAACTGCAATATTAATGCTCACGGGTTTCTTCCAAGCCCCTCACAGCTTTTCCCAACTTAAAGCTAGTGACCTTCCCACTTTTCCATCCAAGGATGACTTCTTGTCCAGACTCCAACACACTGTTGCCCATCAATTCCTTGAATCTCTTCCTGAGCTTAAACAGCACAGTGACATCCGACTGCTGTTGATTCTGCACTGAGACCCCTACACGTGTACTTCAGCTGCCTTCCCTGCGATACAGCTAACAGAGTCTTCTGTCTGTCTGTCTGTCTCTCACACAGACACACACACACGTTGAGGAGAGATTTTTTCACCCAGGGAGTGGTAAGCCCGTGAAATTCACAAACACAAAGCAGTCAAGGGCAAGACATTGTATGATTTCAAGAAGGAGCTGGATATAACACTTGGGGCTAAAGCGAGAGTAAGCAGGAACAGACTATAGAGTTGGATGATCAGCCATGATCATAAAGGAGTAGTAGAGCAAGCTTGAAGGACTTAATGGCCTACTCCTGCTCCTATTTCTTATGTTTCTATGTTTCAGCGTCCACAACCAATTTACAATGCTACAATAAGTGCCTCCCCTACTGCTGAGCAGAATTGAATGTTGCAAGTCCTTGAATTTTCTGTTCCACCAATGTTACATGATCACAGAATTGCTGCAAATGGATTTCATCACAAAGTACTTACTTGTTGTGTTGTATTGGATACCATTGAAGTATTCTGGACAGGGTCTTGTAACAAGTTGCCCGACTGGGCTTTTGTGCCAACATGTTCCAATCAGGTCAGTGGATGAATTGCAATAGGGTCCTGAAAAATAAATATCAATTGATGATACAAATATTCTGACATTTAATTAAATCACAAAATGTATCAATTTAAGAAGATGGCCTCTTTAGCGTATTTCGTCTTTTCCTTTACCCGATTTCTACACCATATTTGGTTTATGCCAGACTCTTCCCAGTAGATCTGGCTCAAGACTGCTTTATAAATTTGGTACTTAGAGCCATCATCAGAACCAGGCTTTCTTTGTTCACATCGGAACTACATCCAGAAGCAAGAACCAAAGTTCAAAAGAGATTTACTAGAATGGGACCAGAGATTTTTGTATTTATTCACTCATGGAATGTGGGCAGCACTGGCAGGACCAGCATTTATTGTCTATCCCTAATTACCTTTCAGAAAATGGTAGCAAGATACTTCTTGAACTGTTGCAGTCTACATGCTGTAAGTAGATCTAAAAGTGTCTTGAGGGAGAGAGCTCCATGCTTTTTGAACCAGGGACACTGAAGGAATGGTGCAATATTTCCAAGTCAGGATGGTGGGTGGCATGAGGAAAATGTGCAGATGATAGCATTCCCATCTATCCTTTCTTGTCCTTTTAGATAGTAGTGGTCATAGGTTTGGAGGGCGCTGTCTATGGAGCCTTGGTGAATTTCTTCAGTACACCTTATTGCTGCTACTGAATGTTGGTAGTGGAAGGAGTGAATGCTTGTGGATATAGTGCCAGTCAAGCAGGCTGCTTTATCCTGGATGGTGTCAAGCTTCTTGAGTGTTGTCGGAGTTGCACTGATCCAGGCAATGGGCTGATGGGTGCAACTCATCACACTCTTGACTTGTGCCTTATAGATGGTGGACACGTTTTGGGGAGTCAGGAGGTGAGTTACTTGCTACAGTATTCCCAGCCTCTGACCTGCTCTTGTAATCACTATTTATACAGCTAGACTAGCTCAGTTTCTGATTAAATGGTAACCCTCAGGATGTTGAGAATGGGGAATTCAGTGATGGAAATACCACTGAAAGTCAAGGGACAATAGTCGATTGTCTCTTTTTTGGAAATGATCATTACCCAGCACTCATGTGGCAAGCATGTTACTTGCCCAAACCTGGACATTTGCTTCAGAGTCTCAAGAATTGTGAATATTGCTGAGCATTATAAAATCATCAGCAAACATTGCCACTTCTGGCCTTATGGTAGAGGGAAGGTCAGTTTTGAGGCAGTTGAAAATGGTTGGGCCCAAGGTACTACCCTGGTGAACTCCTGTAGCGATGTCCTGGAGCTGAGATGATTGACCTCCACCAACCGTAACCACCTTTCTATTTGACAGGTATGACTCCAACAGCAGAGAGTTTGCTCCAATATCCATTGACTCCAGTTTTGCTACGGCTCCTTAATGCTATGCTTGGATAAATGCACCCAATTTGTTATTTACATTAATAACTTGGACATGAATGTGGAAGGTATAATTATTAAGTTTGCAGATGACATGAAAATTGATGGTGTCACCACCAAAAAGGAATGCTGGTCCAAAAGATAAGTGCCCACAGGATCCAAGGCAAGTTGGCAAACTGGATCCAAAATTAGCTTGCAAATGGGAGGCAAAGGGTAATGATGAAGGGTTATTTTTATAATTGGAAGCCCGTGACCAGCAGTGTACCACAGGGATCAGTGCTTGGACCCTGGTTGTTTGCTATATACATTTAACAACTTGGATGTAAAAAGGTATCATTATAAGTTTACAGATGTCACAAACTGGTGTTGTTGTTGATTGCGAGGAGAATGGTCTCAGACAAAGTCTAATACTGATCAGCTGCTCACTTGGGCAGAGGAATGGCATATGGAATTTGATTCTAATAAGTGTGAGGTGATGCAGTTTTGAAGGTCTAGTAATGGAAGGACATACATAATGAGTAGTAGATGCCTAGGGAGTACAGAGGAACAAAGGGACTTTGTTGTTTGAGTCCATAGACCCATGAAGGTGTCAGCACAGGTAGACAGGATGGCGAAGGTGGCAAATGGGATCTTGCCTCAGGGCATAGAATAAAGAGCAAGGAAGTCTTGTTACAACTTGATAAAATATTGGTTAGGCCACAGATGGAATACTAAGTGTGGCAACCAGAACTGCACAATCAGAAAGACATGATTACACTGGGCAGAATGCAGAGGAGATCCCCTACAGTGTGGAAACAGGCCCTTCGGCCCAACAAGTCCACTCCAAACCTCAGAGCATCCCACCCAGACCCATCCCCCTATAACCCACCTAACCTACACCTCCCTGAACGCTATGGGCAATTTAGCATGGCTAATCCACCTAACCTGCATATCTTTGGACTGTGGGAGGAAACCCGAGCACCCGGAGGAAACCCACACAGACACGGGGAGAATGTGCAAACTCCTCAGACAGTCACCCGAGGCTGGAATCAAATCCGGGCTCCCTGGCGCTGTGAGGCAGCAGTGCTAACCACTGTGCCACCCAAGATTCACCAGGATGTTGCCTGGAATGAAAAGTCTCAGGTATGAGGAGAGATTGTTTGTTTTCCTTGGAGGAAAGTAGGCTGAGAGGAGTATCTGATTGAGGTAAACAAAAAATTGAGATGTACACAGTAGAGTAGATCATAAGAATTTCTTCTCCATGCCAGTTATGTCTAAGACAACAGGGCACAAGATTTTTTTTAAGTTTAACATGAGAATCAAGTGGTTTAAAGGGGATTGGAGAGATAATTTTTTCATCCAGCATATGCTAGAATATGGAATGCACTGCCGTAGGATGGTAAAGGCAAGCACTCTCGCAACACTTGAGAAGCATCTGAATGAGTACCTAAAATGCCAGGACATAGTAGGCTATGTACCAAGTTCAGGAAAATGGGATTGATGGCATATGCTGCTTGATTGCACTGTTGCTGACACGTTCAAAACACTTTACTGATGATCAAGAGTAATCAGATGGGATGATAATTGACCAGGTTAGATTTGTCCAACTTTGTGTTTACAGGACATCTGGGCAATTTTCCACATTGTCTGGTAGATGCCAGTGTTGTAGCTGCACTGGAGTAGGGGTGTGGCAAGTTCTAGAGCAGTTCTAGTCTTGAGTGCTTTTGTCAGAATACTTTCCTCTAGCTGAGGTACGATAGACATTTGTGTTACTTGTTGCTCTTTTAATTACAGATTGTTTCCCTCCTGTGGAGATGATGGCTGTACAGTAATGTCATTGGTCAAGTATTCTGGAGTCCCAAGCTCATGCTCTGGGGATAAAGGTTCAATTCACACTATAGTAGGTGGTGAATCTATATTTTGATAAAAATCTGGAATTAAAGAGTAGATTAAAAGCTAACAGGGGTGGGATCCAGACAGAATTTTCAACAGGGGAAGTTGAATAGCCAAAATCAGAAGAGACAATGACTGAATTAGGAAGGCATAGTCATTATAGGTCAGATAAGGCACAAGGGAGTTTGGCAAGCTTTGATCATACTTTACTTTTAGGACTCTGACAAACAAGGCAGATGAGTAGAGGGCACAAATTAAAACATATGGAGTATGATGTCATTGCTGTCTGAGACATGGTTGAGAGAGGGGCAAGATGGCAGCTCAACATTTCAGGTTACAAGGTCTTCAGGATAGGTAGAGAAGGAGATGTCACAATATTGATCAGAGAATCTACTGCAGCAGTAAGAAGTTAGAAGGCTCCTCAAATGAAACCGTTTGGATAGAACTTAAGAACAAAAATGGAGCAATCACATTGCTGAGAGTGTACTCTTGGCCTAACAGTCCGAGAGAAACAGAAGGGCAGATATGTCAGCAAATTTCAGAGAAGTGCAGAAGTAATAAGGTAGTGGTAGTAGGAGATTTCAACTTAAGCAATATTGATTGGAGTGGCCTTTGTGTGAAAAGGTTTGAAGGGAACAGATTTCTTAAAATTCATCCAGGAGAGCTTTATGTCAGTACATAGAAGGCTTTAAAAGAGAGGGAGTGGAATTGGGCTTAATTTTAGTGAACAAAGCAAATGGTTGAAGAATTGAAGTTCTAAACTGGGGGAAAGGCTGATTTTAATACAATCAGGTATAGTCTGGCCAGAGCGGACTGGGAGCAGATACTTTCAGTTAAATCTGCCTCAGAACCATGGGATGATTCGAGAAGGCAAGCGTAGTACATGCCAACATGTTCCAATAAAGGACGGGACCATCAAATCCTGAGAAACCTGGATATTGAGTGGTATGCAGCATTCGATAAAGAGAAAAGGGAGGCTTATGACAGAGACTGAGGGCTCAAAACTACAGATACCCTAGAGGAGAATTGAATGTGCAAGAAGGAACTAAAGATTAGGAGAGCTAAAGGGTGATATGAAAGGATACTGACAGGTAAAATAAAGGAAAATCCTAAGTTATTTTACAGGCATGTGTAAAGGATCATGAGGAAAAAAGAAGTAGGGTCCATTAAGGGTGATAGTGATAATTTATACATGGAGCCAGAGGATGCAACTTGGGTTCTAAATGAATACATTCACTAGTGAGGGGCATGATATGAACACAAAGAAAATCAGGGAGAAGGTTTGTGATACAATTGAAGAAATTAGCATAGACAGTGAGGAGGTTCTGCATGATCTGACAGGCTTAAAATTTCTAGCACCAGATGAAATGTGTCCTAATTTGAGTGACGCAAGGGAGGAACTTTCAATTTATCTCTGGCCAGAGAAGGAATATCAGGGGACTGGAGGACAGCCAGTGTGGCACTGTTAATCAAAAAGGGAGCAAAGGACAAACCAAAAAGTGACAGGCCAGTCAGTTTAACCTTGAAGGGGAAACTGCTGGAGGCAATTCTGAGGGGCAGAATTAATGTGTATTTAGAGGGATAGGGATTAATCAGGAACAGTCAGCATGATTTTGTTTCGGGGAAATCATGTTTGACCGACTTGACTGAATTTTTTGAAGCGCCGACCAGGTGCGTAGATGTGGACAATGCTTTTGATGTAGTCTACTTGCATTTCAGCTTTTTGGTAAGATCTCACATGGGAGTCTGGTAACAAAGAGCCCAT